GGGAGGTTCATTTATACATATGCTGTACAACGCGTGGTACTCCTTTTCTCTTGGCGTAAACGTTTCGCCTTCGACCGAAGGCTAACAGGCTTCATTATACTAACGGAAATTTTAATTTGAACTTATACGCACTGTTGTATGGTCCCTATCCGCAGAGAAATCTCCACTGCGTCTTATGGCCGCCCACCTGTACAGTTCTCCAGGTACTTCGATTTCCCCTGCCAATCCTCGTTCCACCAACTGCTCTACAATCACAGTCATCTAGAATTGGTATAATAAGCTACAAGTAGCAAAAGTACCAAATGGTCTATATCACTCCAATAAAAGCAATAATTAAAGTATCGTGTTCACATTCCACCCCCTTCGCTCCATTTCTCCCAACGTCAATATAAAGCCCATTAAATTGTGGACACATTAAAATTCATTGTAAAATTTGCTGTAAAAAATAAATTGAAAGTAATAACTGATAAATAATTTTCACTCAACATGAGAACTATTTATATCATTGATATCAGCATTGACTGACATTGCTATAAATGCAACTGGTTATGAAAAACAAACTTTATATGGGTCTCTAAAGTAAGTCACTGTTGCTCTGATTTACCTTATTGGGCAATTGTTCCCTGAATTTTTCCGCCCTTAAAAATTCGACGACCTCCGCTGGGTATTTGAACCCGCGTAGTATGAGTCATGAGGTGGGAACGTTACCTTTAGACTACGGAGGTCACTCGTCTATTGTAGTAACAAATAAAGGTTTGATTCAGGAGGAAATTAAAAGGCAATTGAATCTGGGCAATGGTTACTACCATTCAGTCCAGAACATTTTGTCTACACATATGCTGTCTAAAAATGTAAGAATTAGAATATTCAGAACTATAACTTGCTGTAGCTCTGTATGGGTCTCTGACATTAAGGGAGGAACACAGACTGAGGGTGTTTGAGAACAGGGTGCTGAAGACGATATTTGGACCGAACAGGGATGAGGTGACAGGAGGTTGGAAGAAACTGCATAATGATGAGCTTCATAACTTGTACTCTTCTTCAAGCATATTCAGAATGATCAAATAAAGGAGAATGTGGTGGGTGGGATATGCAGCATGCATGGGTGAAATCACAAATGCATACACAATTTTGGTGGGAAAGCCAGAAGGAAAGAGACCACTCCGAAGACCAAGATGTAGGTGGCTCAATAATATTAAAATGGATCTTAGAGAGACAGTCTGAAGTGGTATAGAATGTACTGATCTGGCTGAGGAGAGGGACAAGTGGAGGGCTGTTGTGAATACAGTACTGAATCTTCAGATTTCAATAAAATGTTGGGAAATTCTCAAGAAGCTGCAAAACTGGTGGCTTCTCAAGAAGGGCTCAGCTCCATGGAGTTAGTTACATGTACAGAGGAATATCATAGTTATGTGAGAATGCTTTTACTTCTTCATTATAGGTAAAATAGATACACATTTAAATCTCAAATGAATTAGAGGACATTGTTATAAATATTACTTTTCAACATAGTTCTTGAAACGTAAAAATGAAAACAAAATAAAACAATATATAGCCCCTTAAAACTAATCTCTTGGTCCAAACAACAAAATTTCAAATGAAATGCAAAGAATGTTTTCAAGAGTGAGACTGCCGTGATACTTCTAGATTCACTTTAAGATAAGTTTTACTACAATAATTCATACAGATTAGGTAAGAATTAGACTTTCCTCTTCACAAAATGAATGAGTTATCAGAAATAACAATGTATTCTACTCTAGAGCACAACAACAAAGGTGCAAACTGTCTGATCAAAATACAGCACTGCAAAAATTTCAGTGTTCTTCCTACACAGCTGACTCAATTTCAGATTAAGAAAACTATAATTATTTATTTAGGACGCATTTTGAATTGCACTCTTTAAAAGAACTTCAAAGACTTAAATTATTTTCACAACAACTGGCATTAAATATGAATCCATAAAAAGTCTACATGGGATTCACAAACAACTGGTTTGATATTTTGGACCAAATTCCAAAGTTAGGTCCAGTATCAAGAGTGATGCCAGATTTCTTTCCTGTTTCGCATGCAACCGCTGGAAGAGAATCCTGATGTATATCGATTCTAGGAATGTGTAGTTGCCTACTAGCCAAAATGTACAAGCAACTTTTACATACACTAAGACAACAATCACACAGTTCCAGCAGCAAACTACTTCAGGCCTGTGCCTTCTTTTAAATCAGTGCTTAATTTCATGAACTTCCCTCTGAGCATTATCACCAAGAAAAAGGCAAAAAATGAAAGACAGCCTTGGGAAAACTACATACCACTCAATGGTTCTTCTGACTTTGGAACATTCACTGATATAAGATGTTCAAAATTTTTCTTTGAAAATAACAGTATCAATGTCACACAGTATACTGGTGAAAAAAGGACAATGTCACTTGATATTACAGTTTTTTAAAGTCTGTCTTGCATTATAATTCACTAAATTGTAGAACAGTGTGAAGTTAACTTATCACATTAAGCTGTTAAGTACATGTCACATAATAGAAAATATCTTTCAAGATGATACCTGAACTGCAGTCAGCCAAAACTCTGAAGTTCAAATCAAGATAATTAATATAACCTGACATTACACTTGTGTACATAAAGTAATTAATGGGCTTCTCCACATCTAGATCAGTTCTGTTAACATCTACATCATTACAGATGTCAAATATATGACAAGTCAATATCTACCCCCCTTAAAATAATGAACTCCTAAAGATATCCCATATATATTGATATAAGAGCTGATACATATATCATTGCAAGCTGCAGTGTCTATGGGGCCCTTAAGTAATGCCCACTCCTTTTCCAGCTTTTACAAAAATGTATACATTTGCATTTCTCACATTCAGCCACAATGGGTCTTTCTCTGCACACCATAATTTCAGGGGAACAAATCTTTCTCAGGTAGCAGGAAGAAGATAACCATAACTTTTACATAAGCAATTCAGAGGGACCAAACATGGGGTCATCGAAAAAGAATTACAGTATTATAAAACCTAGGTAAAAGTAAAAAGACCTATCATTCTAAAACTGTTGAACATATTGAAATCAAGTTTTAAAATGCGGTGACAGAACGTAAGTTTTGGATATGCTCAGTTGATGGTGGGTAGCAAGCGATGTCGAGATGCTTTTGTCAGTTGACCAATCTATACAATTTGTGTGCAAGACCTGCTAGTTTTACCTCCCAGTGCAAGTGTCAGGCAAGATGTGAACCATGCAGCAGAAGGCTCAGTTCGTTTTATGGTATGCAGAATTGAAATCAGTTATAACAGTGCAACATAAGTGGCAAAGTTTACATTCACTCTCGCTCACTCCAGGAGAAAAGGCACCAGATGATAAGGCTCTGAATCATCGGTTAAAACAGTTCACAGAAACAGGAAGTGATGTAAAACAGAAATCTTCAGGTCGACCAGGAACATTGGAAGAGAATGTGGAGTGATATTCCTGGCTGAACTGAAGATTTCTGTTTTGCAACACCTCCTGTTTCTTTGAACTGTTTCAAGCAATGATTCAGAGCCTTATCATCTGGTGCTTTTTCTCCTGGATGTAACCTTTGCCACTTACCACTATTACACAACCGATACCAATTCTGCATACCATAAACCACACACAGCCTTTTGTTGCATGGTTCACATCTCTCCTAACACTTACTTGCACTGAGAGGTAAAACTAGCAGGGCTCGAGAAATGTGACAGCCAGCCTTGTGCACAAGTTGTCAACAGACAAAAAGCATCTCAATGTCACTTGCTACCCACCATCAACTGAGCATATCCAAAACTTATGTTCCTTCGCCACATTTTAAAACTTGAATCATTTTGATATGTTTAACAGTTTTTGAATAATAGTGTTTTATAATCCCAGTGTTCTTTTTTGATGACCCTGTACATGTCAGAGTACTTACAGCCCCTGAAAAGCGTTATGTGTAATATATTTTGATGTATTAAACTGCATTTCTGTATAAACAAACTTCTTTTTAAAGTGATAAGTAGAAACAGAAAGCTAATTTATACTGTCACATAGCTATCTGCAAAAGATTAGCTCTAAATATTGATTCTTATGTCACTTTGGTTCTGTCAATGACAGTGGGTACTTCTATTTCCATACAACTACTAACTGCACTTGATATATATATATATATACACATATATATATCACACAGCAGATAGCTATGTGGTTACAACATTCAGTTCCATAATAAATGTCATATGTGAGACAGGTATTATTGCAGGAAGGGGTTCAGTACCCTCTGCCAACAGCGCAAATATTTTAAGTCAGTTCTTTAACATACGTGTAGTAAAAATGGACAGAGAAATTGCACTGTCTCCTGGGATGTGGCTTCGTGTAGTCCAGGAGATACATGCTAACATTCTGGAAGCATGTTACCTTTCATGTTGAGGTTCTCAAACAAGGCCACTGGAACCGGCACACACTGCCCTTCTCAAGACATGGACATTGCCTTTCTAAGTGTCTGCTTCATCTTCTGCTTATTTTTATCCCCTTACTCTGCTCTCAACACTTGTTTAGTGTTTGTCTTTCTCCCACCCATAACACCCTTTATTTCATCTCTCCTCACCTCCTCCTACCAGCTGAGCCATCATTTTTCCCACATCTCTATTCTTACAGAACACCCTTCTCAAGGCCCTCTGATTCTTTCATCTTCCCTTTATTCCTCTTGGTTAACAGGGCTCATATCTCATCTGTTCTCTGCCTGTATCCACACTTACTCTTCTACCCTGAAGATTCCTCCAAAACATCAGTAAAAATCTTCCACACTACACAACATCACATCCCAGAAGACAGCAATCTTAAGGCTACAAATTTGTGTACTATTATGTACTGACTTAAAGTAAGAATGTGTTACGGTCGCATGCTGATGCCACAGAAGTAGGTTAATGTAGGCCATACACTATTAAAAGATATGTACAGACATTAATGATGACATGCATGAAAAACTGAACTTTCAGCAGAATCATTTCTAACAAAATCAAGTCAAGAATATTAAATTATCTATAAAAGTAACATTCATTCAAGCATCATCATCAATTGTGATAGCCTGTCCAATCTTCATTTCAGATTCAGCAGCCAAGAAAACCGGTGAGAAGAAATAGCAGATATTCTGGAAAATTCAATTAAACAACACTGTTATTATTCTGACTTGAATACATTTCACAAGTTCACCCATTAAACAATTACTGTCCCCCCTTCAAACAAAATTAGCAAGCTGTCAGAAGCAACTGGAACCAACTGCATATCTCCTGAACAGGGAACAACAGAAAGATTCCTCCTTGGTAATGGTCCAAGAAATAAAATGTGCACAACACTTGCTAACCATTCTGATCCTACAGACCAGATTCATCGTCCACTTCTTCTGTGACTAATCTTAACCATTATTAACCTTCATTTGTTAAATTAAGTTACACGAGGTCTGTTCAAAAGTTCCCGAAGTGAGGGCATGGAGCAGCAGTGCATCAGTCATGTTTCCTGTTGTCTGAGTGACCTTGCAACCTGTTACTTACTGCCATGTGTTTCAGTGACTGCGATGCAGGTTTGGATTGGAGAATCGGTTTATTGGAACTTCACTAGTTGTAACTACAAATAATTGTTAACACTTTCATGATTACTGTAATTATAACACTCAATGTCTTCAATTCTCACATTAAGTCTTCAGAGGTTTCCTACCGAGAACTGAACTGAACAGCCGGTGTGATATAGCCTCCACATGGACCACACATAGAAAACTCAGTTCTACTGTTGCATAAGGAAGATGACACAGAAAACAAATCATGTGATTCCTAGCAAGCATCTTCATTGGTGCACTGTTGCCTAGCAACATGCATTAACATTCCTCCACTGAGACACATCTTCCATTATTGCATTGTGTGTATTCGGTTGTGTGGTGTTTACCAGTCCATTACCTAGCAACATTATGGCCATCCATGTTACATTACACAAGCCATTTTGTTCCAAGTATATCAGACGTTCCATTTACTTTTTATTACTGGTTTTGTGATTGACCCTGTTGTTTTCTTGCGTGTTCAGTATTGCATTAGCAAAGAACAAGGAATTTGTGTTCTGTTTCAAAGTAGATAAACAGCTGCAGAAAATGAAAACATGTTGCATGAAACTTATGGTGATGTCTTGCATCAAACAACCTAAGAACTGTTCAAGTGTTTTAAAAATGGAAGAACGTGAATGGATGAGGATGAGCGGTCTGGCCAACCTTCAACTTCAAGATTCAAATCTACGTATGACTGCCAAGCTGAAAAACATCCATGGAAATCGACTGACTGTCCCATAAGTTGCACAGGAGTTTGGAATATTCACTGGTTTGTGCCACATAATTCTAACAGAAGATTTAGGAATGCATCAGGTCTCAACAAATTTTGTGCCAAGACTCCTCCAAAGAGCAAATGATGAAAATCTTTTGAGAAATGTAATTACTGGTGATTAGACATGGGTTTACAGTTATGACGTTGAAACCAAAGAACAATCCTCACACTTGAAGAGTCCTGCTTTGCCTTGCCCCTACAAAACACAATAGATGTGCACATGAGTGAAAGCAGTACTGCCTTTTCTCAATCATCATGACATTATGCTTTATGAATTTGCTTCTAAAGGTCAGACAGCTAATCAAGATTTTTATCTGGTGATTCCAAGACATCTGCAGGATGTGGTACAAAGAAAGTGACCCAAAATGTGGACTGTGGGAAGCTGGTTCCTCCATCATGACAAAGTGCCTGCTCATGCAGCACTGTTAATTAGGCAATTCTTGGCAAAACATTCAATCTGTTCTTCCACAATCCCTCTAATCATCTGACCACTCTCTCCTGACTTTTCCTATTCCCTAAATTCAAACTTACCCTTAAAGGAAGATTTCAGAAAGCAGACATCATCACTAAAGTGATGAATGGCTTAAAGGCGATACCACAAACATCAAATAGCTCTTCCAAAAGCAGAAAATGCAATGGGAGAGTTACATTGCTACACAATGCTCTAAGCAAAGAAATATTATTTACAGTCATATTTCTGGAACTTTCTGACCACACCTCATATGTTAACTTTTGAGCCTGAAACAGCTAAGTCAGTATAGTGAGTGGAGATGGGCTGGATGACTGGGATTTGATTCAAACCAGCATGATTTCTGAACTACTCCATCCTGACTGGCTGTACAGCCTGATCAGCCAGGGGTAAAATGACCCAAAGCGTGAAGCTGACAACCCACCTCCATCTCTGGCTGAGGTTAAGAATACATGGAGCTGTGCTTACATGGCAATTTTACCTAACTTAACAGAGGTACTACATTTGAATAACATTAATATTAAAGTATATCTACTAAAACTATGATAAGAGTAAATAACTTCTAACTAAAGCAGTATATTGATGACAACTGGGATTCAAAATTGTGAAGTAAAATATCTGTTGAAAATACTCACACAAATATATAAATACCAAGAATACGTATCTGCTGAAACACTGCTGTCATGTCAGTAAACTGCTAACATCTTAAATAATGCCACGCAGCCGAGGTTGTCTTGAGCAGACCTTAGTGATGGCATTCATCATAGACTTCATGCTTACTTTCTCATGGCCACATACATTCGCTAGTATGTACAGCTGTCTAAAAGCATGAGGATTCTGTATAAAATCAAACAACACTTGTTACATTCAATATTACATACAATGGAGGAGTATGAAAAAGTAAAGTGATTAAATTATAGGGTATGAGTCCATTTATTACTATACACGTACATACCACTCCGCACTCACAGTGCATGACATACATATTAGCATCAATACATACAATTAGCCTCAGCAGGGCAGTGTTTGTTGTAACATTAGTTGGTCTGTCACTTCAGTGGAAACTCAACATAAACTAGGCTCATTTAGTTACACCAAAACCTGAGGATGGCAGAAATAAACGGGAATGTTGCAGCAAGTATTACAGTGTCAACCTTTCCCAGTGAAAGGGTATATCCACACTATTACAAGGGTCGTACTGAAATTCATGAGCAACAATTTTTTGTAAAGTAACATGCTTTATTATTGACAAACCAAATACACCACCTCAATCTACAGACCTTTCTTTATTTTTCCACATAATCACCACTTCTTTGTACACATTTCTACCAGCGTTCTGGGAGTTTGAAAATTCCCTTCCTGTAAAATTCCGTTCCAGCCATCCGAAGACACTGACGCACTGCTTTTTGAATTGCCTCCCTTGTCTCAAAACTTTGTCCACGCAGCTGATCCTTCACAAATCCAAAAAGATGGTAGTCGGGGGGTGCCAGATCAGGGCTATAGGAGGGGCGTGGAAGACTAAAATCATGGAGTTTTTTTGTTTTGTTGTTCTTATTTTTGTTAAATACTTAGCACTGAGGAAGCGCCTTCCTCTGAATCACTTGCTAGCTTTGACAACCAAATCTATGGGGGTGGGGCATTTGGAACACAGGTGAGTCAGAGACAGTGGCAGTTATCCCCCTCCTGGAAATTCAGTAGGGTAAAGAGGGGAGAAGCTGTTCAGATGTATGCTCTGAATCACTTCTCTCTCCCTCTCTCTCTCTGAATGATCATGAACACCCATATGAATCTTGAATACTGCCTGACTGACATATTCAATTTTAGAATGTGCCATTAAATTAAAAAAATCAAATTTTTCACATTTTTTCTGTTTATGGTTTGGGTTGTCAGGCTTCATCAACTTAACATGTATTGTTTATGGCGAGTTAATGTGGAACCCACTGCACACAGGTGTTTTGTCACAATGGCGTGTATGGAATTGTAACTTATTCCCACCAAAAGACTAATTTCTTCCACAGTGATCCGTTGGTTTGCCCGGATATGACCATCCAACGCAGCAATAACATCAGAAGTGATGACACGATGAGGCTGTCCTGGGTGAGCATCATCTTGCAGTGACACACGTCCCTCTCAGAATCTCTTATGCCATGCCAGCACACGCGAATGGGACATGCTGTGTTCGCCGTAAACAACAGACATGCGATGATGAATTTCTCATCCTCCTCCTTCAGAAGTCAAAAAGTGCAATAGACTTCGCTGTTCTTCTTTACCTGCCTTCATTACTGACGTTGGACAAACATATGTAGCGCTGACCTTATTTCCAGCACAATAAAAAAACGACTAGTGCGCAAGGGCGCATTGTCACTGTGCTTTCCCAAGTTCCCACCAGATGTTCATACCGTAAGTAAATTCCAGTGTTACCAACTTGCGCACTGTGTGGGTTATGCGTGGTGACCAATTTTCATTTGACTGCCCCTTATATTTGGTTGTTTCTTAATTTGGCATCAGTGGGGAAGTTCTTCTCCTGTTAGGTGAGGCCCTCTTTCCCTTTCTGTTACTCCTCCTGTCGATGACGCTCCACTCTAAATTCTTCTCATCTTCAGCAATCTCCATGCCGATACCAATAGGATTTTTGTCTGCTGTCCTTTCATCTGTCATTTTCTGTTTTTTTATTGTTGCTTTTTCTCTACCTCTTTACTACTGTTCCTTTTGCATAGGCTTCCAAACCGCACTGAGCCATACGCATAGTTGCGATGTGCCTTAGCCACTAGGTTAGGTTTAATATTTACTGCTTTTCCTATTACACTTTCAAAATATTCCCTGATCCTATTGCAAACACTCTTTGTTGTCACTGTCTAGACAGCTTGCAGCTGCACAATAACTTGCTAAGGGACTCTTTAATAGCAAGCTTTTTCCTACTTATATTAAAACTCAGCTATAATACGTGTCTAATCCACTACACAAATTTATATGTATTCAAGATATTATCATGATTATTTTAGTATCTGTGCTGCCCTCCAGTAGCAGAAATTTGATACAGTATATGTACTGTTCTCTAATAGCAGCAACGTGAACTGTGAAATTGCCGGAGGATATGTTAATGTGCAATCATATAATTCTTTATTCATATACACTGGGCATTAAAAACAGATATAAATTAAGAGTTTTTATCAGTTACTGTAAGCATGATAAAAATAAATGAATCCACAGATTCATGGGCACCCCACCACTATATTCAATAAAATGACTTCCAACTGCTTTTCCTAAAGAGATATGTTTGCAACTGCTATATGGGCAACAAAAGAAAGGTTCATATTATAGCAGTGTATGTTTTTCACAGTCTGATTGCTTGGTCTGTATATTCATGTATATAAGTACATAAAAACTGTCTTCATATTCAATTGGTATTAAAAAACAATGGCCATATGAATAAAACTTGATACTTTAAAAAAAAGTATTATGGTATGCACAATAAAAATAAATGAATGTAGATTCCATGGATAACAACATGATTTCCAATTGCATTCCTTCAGGAATCTAAAGTGCTTGCAATTACTATATGGGACACCAAAGATATAAAGATATGTTCATATAAGATTACACTCTGAGTGTGACGTGTTCAAACAAAACGGAGACTACTAACTTAACTCCGGCAAGGGTAAGTCCTTGCAGCTAGTCAGATAATTCCTAGAGCATCTTCCTAATCACATTCCACACAAACTAGTCTATTCACGAAACCAATATTAACAAAAATACTAATACTGCAAGATGAATTACATTCTTTGGGCACATAAGAAGTTTCATCTCTCAAAACTTACATCTGAAAGTTTGAAGCATTTCTCAGAGAAAGAGGAAACCAATTTCTTGTAGCAACTGAACTGCTTTGGGCTCAATTTGTATCCATTTACTTTCAGTTCTTGAACCTTGTCTTCATCCCTACCAGTGGCTAGCATCAGGATATCTGACACAATACTTTCCATATGGTGACGATACTGTTAAAAAAATAAGCACCAATATTAAAATCTGCTTTGCATATAATGTCACAACTCATATAGCTCAATATATATTACTGACAAGGGAAAACTGGCATATGAATCATCTCAATGGAATTAGTCTGTCTGCTGCTATGGGGTGCTGAGGAAGCAGGAAGAGGAGACAAGGAGAAGATACCATGGGGAGGTCACAATGCAACCGGTGGATGTCAAAGCTCAAGCAGGATGTGGGGAAACAGTGACCACTGTGGGTAAGATAAAGCTGCCAGGATCTATGGGTCCATGTCCTTCAGGCTGTGGCAGAGTGCACCAACTGGGCAGAAAGGGAGAAATCCACACACATACTCCCTGTCCTGCAGGGGTTAAGGCACTCCCGGTCACTATGGGAACCACCAATTGGCTTTGGCATACTGCTACCAACTGAAAGCCAGGACCCAGCTGAGCAGCAAGACACTGAAAGAATCTGCCACTGCCAATGAGCTGTTCCCTTGCCAGGCCCTTGTTGAATTACCCAAGTATTACACCCAGAATGCACAGATTGACTCCTGTGCGTTCATCAACGTGGTGAAAGACTGGGCGGTAAACAGCAACTCCTTCTGGGTAGTGACAGGACACTAGACAATGCCCTAAGACAAGCTCTTAAGCTGAAAGCCAGTCAGACCACTTGCAAGGCTACAAGAAGTGACAACAGTAATGCCCATGGGAGGAGAGTAAACTTAAGACAAGTGAAGTGGGGACTGGCAACATCAGGGCACTAGTCACCTGAGGATTGTCCTCAGACACTGGATGAAGAGTGATCAACAGTCAGGAGATCAGCATGAGCTGAGGGGACGAGCCAACTGCTGGTGCATCACTCCTACCCTTTCGCTTAACATTCAAAGTGTTTGCTGGGAGGGGCAAAGAAAGCTCTGAACATGAGGGCTGTATAGGGACAGCCCACACCCGACAATTGACACCAGGGTAACAGTAACCTTCTCCAAACCTGATACAACTGCAGGGCTGCCCAAGAGTGCCAAGTTAGATGTACATCCTGCAGACAGCATAAGGAGAAACCCTACATATCTTGAAGGAGACACTGGTTTTCTATTAGGTCTGTCCTATATATATAACATGGACCAATGAGAATTTTGGTCATGGATTTCAAAGAGGTTGAAGCCATGAATAACTGTGCTGGCGAAGACCAGCAGCAACTGAAGTCTGAGTCGGTAGTTGGCGAGTGCAGTTTGGGAGCTGTAAATGAAGAATCTCCATGGTTAGCAGCTGTAATATAGTACTGCAAAGTGAAGACAGCAACTAAGCAATGACCAGTGAAGACAACACAGTGGGTCTTAGCATGTGCTGCAGTGGTTTGGTAAGTGTGTGGGTAAGTGAAATTGTTACAGCTACTTGTAGTTATGAGCTCTAATTGTTCAGTAAATCCAGTTACCAGTCGAAACCCAGTGTCTAGTCAATACACATGACAATACTTACTTTCAGTGTCCGATGCAACTGGAATTTAATTTCTTGCTTCTCCTTTGGATCAACTGCTGCTTCCAACTTATGTTGTAAAATAGCAATTGGAACATGGTGGCTTGGTACTGCATCCTACAAAACGGTGAACACAAACTACAGTTCTTTAGCACATGATATTTATTACAAGAACAAAAAGGTGTACAGCAAAGACAACTTAGGTATGCTATGACTACTAGAAGGTGCACATAAGCAAAAGATTTTTATTTCATTTTTCCATTCAGTTTCTAGCAAAACCATCCCATCATGCTCTCGATTATACTTAGTTCTGTGTAACAACATGGGGAATGCATTCTAAACAAGGTAACACATGACTTCAAAGACACACTCGTTTCTTCCAAGCCACAATCTAACTATACAGAACCACAATAAAGTAAGGCATTAATGAACCATTGGCAAAACCCCTGCATTATCATTTGAACTCACAGTATACTGATGCCATTATACCAGTTAAATGCCTTTAGGGATTGCTGGGGACATTTAATTACACTACATTCTACAACACTGGGAAGGACTAAATATTTAAAAATTAATCCTTTTGATTGTGAATACATTATTACAACTAATATTTGTGCAGTGCCACAGCTCATATGGTTAGCAGTTGCCTTTTCACTGTGGAGTCTTGGGTTTGCCCCAGGTGCATTCATGTGAGATCTGTGATGCAGTAGCAATGGAGCATTTCTTTTTTTTTTTTTTAGTTTCTTAGGCTTTCTCACCACTGCTCATACTAATTTGTTGCTATCCATTGAGGTATTCACACCCCTGACTAGGCAGCACATTATCAGCATGTCATGGGGAATGAACAAAAGAAGACATGGAAGCAGCTGGAATGCTGAAACCAGGACTGTCGTGGTGGAGGCACTAACTATGACTGATATACAACATGAACAACATTTCATCGCGCATTTGAGGATGTGGTAGATCACAACAGTTACGTAGCCCATGATAATGTCACGCATGCCCTTGAAATTCTGCAGAACCAAGACACACATGCCTTGGAGTGACATATGAAGACACAGCACTCTGAAGAGCCATTAGCAAGACAACCAATTAGTGGTGGCCTACTGGTTTCAAAACAAAGCCAGGACCCAGGTGAGTGGTGAGTCTCTACAGAAATGTGCACCAGCTAACAAGTATTTGGCCCACCAGGCCATTGTCAAGCCACCAGAAAACTTCATCCAGAGGGAAGCAGCCCCTGCATTCACTAATGAAGCAAAGGACTAGAAAATGAAAAGGCACCTCATCATGTAAGGTTGCTCAACACAGACCTCAAACATGCCTTGAAGCTAGCCGTGAAGGCAGGAGCTGAAGCTCCCACAGTCCCCTGTGACTGGATGACCCATATGCTGGCAGTGTGTGGAAGTCACTCGTCTTAGAAGAGACTGTCAACAGAAAAGAGAACAGAAGGAATGCCTGAGAGGCAGCCAACTAGGACCTGAGGAGGAGGAGGGGCTGGTGTCATCACCCTCATTCTCATTGCACACTCAAGGTGTTAACCAAGAGGAGTAACAACAGTCTAAATGCCTATGGTTGAACAGATGAAACACTGCACCTCATGACAACTGACATGAGTCAAGACAGCTCAGTCAGTATAGCAACAGGCTATGGGTTGGTTGGCCTGGGTTCACATCCTGGCATAGGCAAGATTCTTCTCTTCACCAATGTCCAGACAGGCTCTGGGGCCCATCCAGCCTGGATTCTGGACATGGTTAGAAATCCTGGTCACACATACGGAGTGACATTGAGAGGTGGTGCCAACAATGCCACATCTGCGCAGCAAACAGAGGCCTGAAATACCTGCAGCCGGGGGAGGGATGAAAAATTATAACATCAGGGCACCAACTGCAATCAGCGTCACAGGCCCTTTATGCAGCATGATAGGAAATTAATACCCCTTCATTGCCAGGGACTACTACAGGAAGCCAGAGGTCTACATCATCTCCAACCAGCAGGCATTGATTACAGCTGACATGCTGTTGATCAACTTCTACTGCCACTTAAGGGTCTCAAGGGAACTACATAGTGACCAAGGCCAGAACTTTGAGTCATAAATCCTACAAGAGTTCTCATGGAGCCTAAAAATTTTCAAAGATGCACAGCACCCCTCTGCACACACAATCAGATGACATGTGGGATGGACAGATGAAGATGTGAAGAACCACCTCAGGAAGGTCATTTTGTCACATCATACAGACTGGGATGAGAGCCTATTCCTCTTCCTGCTGGCCCACACAGAGAAAGCATGGTGTTCAGAAGGGAGCTATGCCAGACCTGCAACGTATTCTTCTCATCCTCCCAACGAGGAACATCCCACAACAGACATGACAGACCTCATGAAAGGGCTGTGACATCCACCATTAGGCTTGTCAATATCTGAAGGCAGCCAGCAACAGGATGAAGGTCTGCTACACCCACCTAGCCAACTCTGGTGGATTCCAAGAAGGAGACCAAGTCTGACTGTAGTGTACAATCTGAACTAGAGGAAGGCAGCTGTTGCTGCATCAATCCTGTGAAGGACATTATGAGGTGAACATCTGAATCAATGTAGTCTACAGGATACAGAGATGACTGATGTGGACACAATGACCCTTTGAGGAGGGAGTACTGTCAAGGCAGCTGAGAGGAGCATCACCTGGCCTGTGTGTACTTTTCATTTGATCAAAATGTCAATATCTGCACCTTTTAGATCATTCCAGAGGCTGGAAGGCCATGGGAGCCTCAGCAGGCACAAGAAAATTCTCAATGTGTTGACTGTACATAACAGTAGCCACAAAGCAGTGAAGCAGCAGCAAAGCACAAACATGTGTGCAGCATCCTGTTACAATTGTTCAAATTAGCATCCATGTTTATCTTCTGTCAAAACTGCAACACTTCTTACATTCTACACTTCAACATTACATAACACAGTTTTAGTAAAATGTCTGTAATATAAAAACACCCGAAGATGACTGTTTGAGGCCGAAACATGTAGTGTTGAAGTGCAGAATGTCAAAAGTGTTGCAATTTTGACGGAAGATAAACAATGGGCGCTAATGTGTGCAGAAACAGATATGAAGCAGTAGGTCCTGTTAGTCATGAGTTAGTAATTGCAGACTGGTAACAAGTCAGTTCGAATAGTAAGTCACTTAACAGTTCAGTTGAGTGTAGATGACGAGATAATAGTTGAGTGGAGACAGACAGAGTCTGAACAAGATGAGAGTGCAGCGACTGAGCACTGGTATTATGGTGAAATAACAAACGGACAACGAACCGATATCAACACCATAAGTGGCCATTAAGAGTGACACAGTAACTACTCCAAATAATGACAAACATTACATACCCTGTCTCTACAGTTTGGGGTTCGTCTCTGATCCAGAAGTGGCCTTATCACAGAGTAAACAAATTTTTACATGTTCCAGTATGGTATGAAAATATTATACGAACTCCAAGGTGTGAAATACAACTACCATACAACATGGCAGGGAAAAGCAATTTAGAATGCCAGGTTCAGATCAAAGTTAGGGAAAATCTGAATTGAAGAATAAATATCACAACAATGAGGTTATTAAAAAATTTGATATTACTAGGTGTGCCTACTAAATAGATTGAGATCATAAGAAACATCTTACTGAAAGTTTAAGTACTTTAGAACTTATCTCCTTCATAGTAGTTCCCCTGGGTTCCTACACATCACTGCATGTGTTTATGACATGCCTTAAAGCATCTTAGAAAATCATTCCATAACAGCTTTTTCAGCTGCTGACATTTTATTCTGGACTTTCTCAACAGACTGAAAATATGTTCCTTTTCACTGACTTTTCACTTTTAACTTAGAAGATGGCAAAAAGTCACAAAGAATGAGATCTCATGACTAAGTGGTATGATCAAGCACAAGTTTCTTTCTGGCCAGAAACTGCCATACCCAAGAGCATAATGTGTGCTAGGATGTTGTCCTACTGAAGGATCAAACCATTCTTTCAGAACTCCTGTCTCTTCCTTGCATTTCAACACACATTCAATGCATCACTTCTAATTCATGGTTTGACCAGGTGAGACACTCTCAGCCATAACAACTCCTTTGGCATAAAAAGATGATGATCAGCACTGCTCTGATTTTGGATTTTGATTTTATTGCTTTCTCTGATCTTGGAGAGTATGCGGATTTCAAAGCACTACCATACTCAAACAATCATATCAAATTCTTCTGCTAACATTCTAATGCTCAGACAGGAGTCCTAAGTTGTTTTTTCTTCATGTTCTTATCAAATTTCACTGTCACTGCAAGACCAGGTTATTCATCTTCCACTTCTTCCCTTCCCTCTAAAAATTGTTTAGGCCATTTAAAAACATGTGCCCTCAATACGTTATCTCCTCCATACACTTCATGTAAAAGCTGATATGTTTTGGTGATGGTTTTCTTAAGTTTCCTTACAATTTCATGTTACCATACCATTCAACTTTTATAGCTAGCATATTCTGATGCACAGCAAAAACACTTCATATAGAGCTATGTGTATTAAATGAACATGGTGAAATGTGTGTCGGCAGGTGACTAGGGGAAGATTCAAGATCAACAACCATGCATTTTGTTTGTGGATGGTGGAATTAGCTTCAGCACTTCCCATGCAGTTCAATTATTTAATAACCACTCCTATTAAAATCCTTTGACTTTTAAAGCACTATTACTCACATTAACAGGTGGCAGCTTGGTTTTGAATGACTTCGGTTTGTGGCTGATTTGATAACCCAGGAACTCAGAGACATGCATTGATCCAACATCCAAATCCCCATATTCTTCCACATGACTTGTGTTGGTTTCCGTTCGTACGATCTCGTATTGATGATGCAAAGATTCTTGGAGTAGATCTTCCTATTAAATAAAATTATACTAGTTAATACAAATCAGAGCAAAAATGAAGTAGCAGTAAGTAAATGGGAACTGTACTGTGTGAATAATTTATATAGAACAATTTCAACTAAATGCCTTGGAATAGATGTATTCTCCAAGAATTTAAGCCTTAGCCTGTAACTTAAGAGAAATGTTATTTCACACTATTTCTTGGTATGAGATATAAATAAGGAAACTGAGCTAACCCATACGTGAAAAGAATACTGGCATTACAGTTTACAACCTAAATATGACAAATGAACAGGAAGAAAACACAAACATTTGAGGGCTATGCCTGTGAATGACAATTTATATGGATGCCTTTGGGGGCTTGGGCCAAGAGAGGTGTGAATGGAAATTACATCAGACAGCATTACCAGAATAATGGATTTTGCAAGTCTGATAATAAAGTTTGGGAACTTGCCACCGTGTGCTTGCTGTGGCAGCAGTGAGCAGAGAAACCTCAGTATGGTCTGGCGATGTTGGCATACCAGCATTTCACAGCTGTGCTGTTGTTGACCTATGGCAGTCTTCTTCTGAGTAAAAAAAAAAAGTAAAGGTATCCCTGCAACAAGCCGTGGAGGCCCATAGGGTTGTGAGATGTTGAGGTTCCCACATTTTCTAGACAATTGGCTCACAGATGGCAGTAAGGTTGTCAGCCTCACATGCCAGTTGCCCTTTACCCTAGAGAATATTCCTGGTACTCATTTCTGTTAGAGGCTGAGTCAACCCTAGAGCCATAGTGAGGCTGGAAAGATTAGGTCAATTGAAAAAATCCAATGACCTAATCGGGATTTGAATCCGCGACCTTCTGGTTGGTAGCATACTGCCTCAACCAACTATGCTACCGCATGCTCCCTTCTTTCTGAGTGGCGCCTATTATTGTCTGAGTGTGTTTGGGTGTGCCATTGGGAGAATATCAGAACAAACATTAAATTTCTTGTTAAACTTGGCAAGAGTGGAAGCAAAATCAGAGAGAGGGTATTGCCAGGTTACAGGAATATTATGAAGGAAACAGCAGTTTACAAGTGGATGACATGTTTCTTCTGAGGGGAAAGAAAGTGTCACTGATGAAGAGAAATCAAGACAGTCTGCAACAAGCATAACTGAAGAGAACACTGCAAACGTTCATCAAATTGCATGTGAAAATCGTCGGCTGACTGTCAGGAGCACAGCAGAGCAAGCAAACATTGACAGAGAAACAGTTAGGTAAATCTTGACTGAAGATCTTGACATGAGGAAGGTGTGTGCAAAAATCATCCCAAAGAGCTCACTGAAGAACAGTGTCTGTGAGGCAGTTCTTAGCTAGTAAACAAGTAACTGTGCTGGAACAGCCTCACTGTTCACCGGATCTAGCCCCCAATTACAGTTTTCTGTTCCCGAAGATAAAGGAAATATTGAAACGAAGGCATTTTGATGAAACTGATTACATCAGGAGTAATAAGATGGTAGCTCTGAAGGCCATTCCTCAAAACCAGTTCCACAATTGTTTTGAAGGGTGGACTAGGCGCTGGCATCATTTTGTAGCTTCTCAAGGGGAGTATTTTGAAGGCAAACATTGTGATATTCAGCAATGAGGTATGTAGCACTTTCACCGCGATGAGTCTGCAAATTTTACTGTCAGACCACTTATAAACATGAGCTATCACTTTACATGAGGACAAAATTATATGAATACCACATCAAAAAATGTTTCAGACAACCTTGTATTAGAGGTAAGGCTCAGAAAATAATGCCAAAACCTCAAATCAGTAAAAAATTAATAATAAAATGTTGTGCTATCATGATGCAGTACTTGTGTCAGAAATGCAAACGAACACATTTGGACAAATGATTGAAGTGTTTCATTAAATATAAATAAATGTGTTGCCATAGCCATCATCAGCATTTCCACCGGGTGGGTATTACTATGAAATTCTTCTAAAGTCTTCTCTATTCTTCTATAAGAATTCCTTTTCTATCTCCACTCATTCTTTCCTTACTTCCCAATCACTGACTCTCTTTATCTTGTTGTCTGTTTCCCTGCAGTGACCATTCATTCATAACAATTATTTTTGGTGTTTCTACAGGTATCCTACTGTCATTCATGTGTAACACATATCTATCCAGTGTATCCTTAATTTCACAGAGATATGATATCCTCACAGCATTTAACTATGAAGATTATATTCCTCTGGAATTTACTGACATTTCAGAGGAATGTGCTGTCTCCACCTTCAGGTAAGAAGACCCTGAAGATGGTTGTAGCATGTTCCTCTGGAAAACACTGGTAAGGATCTACCAGACTACATGGTGTCACAAACCCTGATGACGGTAATTTTCTCACAGTGCAAGAACACTTAAATGTTTAACAACATAAATGATCCTTCCAGGTACAATCTCAAAAGTTTGCATTATGCAGCTTATGGAATATACAAACTTTTATCTTTAACACATTCCAGTGTCATTAATTCTAATCTGTTTAGTATGAAGATACATTATTTCAGTATCTACTTTTAAAAATAATTAATATTTGCTATGAAAGTCACTAGTTCATACAATATATGCATATTACTCATAACACAATTCTTTCATGGCACTTTAAAAATCATACTAACAAAGTTTCACCATGTCAAACAGGATGCATAAAATGGCTATACCTTCTCAGAGTCCTGCATCCACATTACACTGAAAACATCACCGAGGAAAGTCTGTCTCTGGCTGTCATAGTAACATGCATAAGAGGATTCATGTGGATCAGCAGCAGTTACTACAAAGACTGCAAAAAAGAAAAACACACAGTGGAAAAGTGCCTTGATATGCAAGTTCAACTGCCTCATGTCAGTAATGACACCATTACATCCATTCAGTTAAGATTATCTTACTTAATTTTCAAATCCACTGTCTCTCAGAGAAAATTTCAGTGAACCTAATCATGAATATTACACAAATAAAATGGTGGAAAACTGACATAGGCATGCATAACTTCTGGTCATTGCTAGGGAGAGCCCTTCTGTCAGTACATCACATATCTTCCTACAGAACAAATTCAATTCTCTATCAGTCTCTTAATTTGAGTTATTTCAATCTTATGAACTTTTGGAATATACCTACTGCTACAATTACTAACCTTAATAAAAGTACACAGTTCTCTATGTTAACCTTCCATGTGTGCACGTGTGTATGTTACTGTCTAAAATATCTTACAGGGTGCAACGTGAGCAGGCAACCATACAGAAGAAAAGTCCTTTGTGTTGAACACAGATTTCTGGTATGGCAGTTATCATTCCTAATGTGTGTTGAAAACAGAATCTAGTGTAGCGAATGGATTTTAATTTGTAAAGTAGTGAATAATTTTTAGCTTTTACTGAGCAAATGTATAAACATGGGAGAGTTTACACAGAAATCCTAGCTCAGAAGGCATCATTTCAAGCCACAGTTACATCACATGATAGCCAAAGCTCTTGTAGGCAGCTTGCAGATGTTGGGACATTTCAGACAGAGAGGCAGTAGATGAGTCATACAGCAGTGACAGCGATCAGGGGATATAGTAATTTATCGCTGTATTGCTGAATGAATGCTTCTGCAACATGGAAATTATAGTCACTGTTTTGTTCCAAGGTAAGTGCTGTACACTGATAAGCTGAACACAAGTTATGGTCAAACTCTATTCATTGTTCAGAAACAGTTTTGTATGTAATATAAGGTACTCTGATCTATACATAACAATGAAGTCATTCCTTTTATTGCCAGAATACTTTAACTGCATGCTTTACTGTTGCAATGGTGGAGAATTAAAAGCAGATTTGTACACATGGCGTATTTGTCTGCTGCTATGTTGGCACATTCCTCTATTGCCTCCAGACCACTAGCAGTGCATGTATCCACTACAACAGTGATGGTAGCAGCCTTGCATATTATTAGGAACTGTTTATCCCCTTATCACTAAAATTACATCAGAGAACACTAAACAAAAAACCCCCATAGAGATAGGCCTTGAGCTTCCAAAACAGTGTAAGGCGACATTCAATATGGCTGCCAGGGTGGGGTCACCCAACCCCCTACGTTATACAGCACCCATAACATGAGATGCTCTGCAACTACACCAACCCAGCACTAAATTGGTGGCAACATTTCTAACAATGCAAAGTCTCCCATGTTCAAACATTTGCCCAGTACATGCTAAAAATTATTCACTACATTACAAATTACAATTAATTCACTACAATATCTCCCAAGTGTCCTCACTTCCTCATAACATTATAGAGAACCTTGGTACTGAAAAGAAAAAAACAAAACAGCACACAACAAAGCAAACTAAACAAACAGCACACAACAAAGCAAACTAAACAAAGTCACAAGTAAATTCATCTGTAAACATTTCTTGGAATTAATGGTTAACCTAATTTTCCCTCACTCAGCAGTTTTTAGATCTGTCAATCATCCTATGCTGCTGGTCCTTGCAAGCACAGTCCTTCTTGGGTCCGAGTCCCTTGGTACTCAAGACCATATATTACTGTCTCAAAAATGAGACTTCCCCTTTTGTTGCCTCCTACGACTCTCAGGGTCACAGTGGAGGTATCTGAAACCACCTCCACATTGGACTCTTTCTGATATGTGATCCGTTATGTCTCTTATCTTCCACAGTCGGATGGATTCTCTCTGATTTTGCTTCCACTCTCACCAAGTTTAACAAGAAATTTCACGTTTGTTCCGATATTCTCGTGATGGCACACCAAAACATACTCAGATAATAACAGATGAACTCAGAAAAAGATTGCTATTAATCAAAAGCAACACAGCTGTGAAATGCTGATATGCCAACATCATCAAACCATACTGAGGTTTCTGTCCACTGCTGCCATGGCAAGCACACAGTGGTGAGTTCGCAAACTTTATTGTCAGGCCTCGTACATAAATTATTTTTTAAATGCCATAAACGTATTCCTATAGTTCTTGTGTAATCCCATTAAATTTAAATATACATACTGTTCAGATCATCTGGCAAGAGGCTGTCAAACATTGAACCGGATTCACAGGCCTCCACATAAAACACCAGCTGAACAGAAAAAGGCATTGGAATACAACAGTTAGAATACAGAGAATATTACAAATTACAAATGAAGCCACTTTTACTATCTTAAAGTGCAAGATGTGATCAAATAATTCCTGGACTGACCATGAGATGACATAATTGCTACTAGCATGAAGTTCTATTGCTAGGTGAAGATACAGTACAGTCTGCTGAGCTACTTTGTGCTCTGAATACTGATGTAGCATGTGTGATTGTTCAGTAATGTCTTGTTAGGTACAAGAATGTGTTATTCCAGTTTCAATTTTTGTGTACCCAGAAAATGGATGACTTGAAAGAACAGTGTGTCTGCAACATATTTTATTTTAAATTGAGGAAAAATGCTATGGAAACCTTCAAAATGTTGAAAGTATGTTTTGGAGAGCAGACAATGGGAAGAACACAAGTTTTGGAGTGGTTTTCCATGTTCAAAAATCGTACGACCTCTGCTGAAGATTCCAAATGGTCAATATATCCATCAACAAGCAAAACAGATAAAAATGCGGACTGATGGATCAAGTGAAGGGAATTGTTCACAAAAACAGAAGCATCGCTATACTTGAAGTCACGTTTTGGGAATTTAATTTCGATCAGTACAGACCATTTTGAAAGACAATCTGAACAGGCATTGGACTGCCACCAAATTCCTGCCCCATCTGCTGAGTGAGAAGCTGGAGCATCATGTCACCATGCACCAGAGCCATCAAGGGAGGCGTGAGAGATACACAACATTCCTTTTGAAGACTATCACATGTGATTAGGCATGGGTTTATGTGTATGAGCCAGAAACCATCTAACAGTCATCTCCATGCCCACAAAACACTCAAGTGTTATGAGCATGTTGTTTTTACCCCTGACATTCAAGGAGTTGTGCATTACAAATCTGTTCCACAAGGGCAAACTGGAAACCAAAATTACTACACTGATATCTTACAATGTCTGTGGGAAAATGTGTGAGAAAATGGACCTGAAAAGTAGGATTCAGGGAATTAGTTTCCCCACCACAACAATGTGACTGTGATTTCACACCCTCCCTATGCACCAGATCTTGCGCTGTGTACCTTCCTTCTTTGCATAAAACTCAAGACTGTATTAGAGGAAAAGAGACTTAATGATATCCCCATGCTTCAAGCAAAATCATGGGATGCACATGATGAGTTTCAAACAACTGACTCCAAGAAATGTTTTGAAAAATGGGATAATCACTGTGGTCAGTGCATAAAGTCCCAAGGTGACCATATTGAATGGGACAACACAGTTTAAAGGATAAGTGTCAACGTTATGGAGCTATATCAAGGAAACAGCAGCTGCGGTCTAGAAAACCTAAATTATTGGTCTCGGAAATTCGTTGCGCAGACCATGAGACACCCTCTTTCTGCTAAAGTTGGCACTAACTTCGCCGATAAGCAGTGGTCACTTGCAGACTAAAACCATGGAGTTTAGTTTAATCAGTTTTAAGCTTTTAGCATGTTCATTCACACTACTGCGCTATCACAGTAACACGCAAAAAAGCAAAACAGCATTACGTTTCAAGGTCAGAAGCCACAAGTTGCCATGAGGTTACCCAGTGTACCAACAAAGTTATGAAACAAAGGTGTACTTCACCAATTTACAGTATCATGAGATTCTGGGCCAATGCAACTGTTTGACAGTCAACATAAAGATGCTTCAGGCATGATTTTTAATTTAAGAATATGCCAAATAAGTACACACATCACACAAAGTATTTGAAGATAAAGCAATGTCAGTTTCACGTAACATCATTACTCAGGGTATGTATACAAATTACACAGAGGAACGGTTCTCTTTACAGCTAAGATCTTCACTTTGCAAGACGTTACACTCTCACTTCAAGAGTTGGTAAGCTCACATTGACGATATGAGAGTTCTGGAACAGAACAAGGTAGAAAACAATGTACTGAGAGACAATATGTGTGGTGGCTTGTGTCTGTGCAACAGTAGAAAATATACAACACACCACTCGGCCTAACACACGGCAACCTCAGACTCTCTCTTATACAATTGAATTTAGCGACCATACAGGGAAAGAATTAAATCCTATCTCCCCTATCAAATTTTGAATTAAAAGTAAAAATATGCAAGTTTTGAAGTATTTATATAACAAAGAAACGAAAAGCTTTAAGCAATAATGGTTTCAATCTTACTTACCCGTGCAAACTGTCTCTTAACTGCCATTTTCCTCAAAGCCCTTTCAAGATCGTCAGCATAAAGTTCATCACGAGGAAATGCAAGGAGCCCTGGTGCACCATGGTCAACAAAGTTAACAAATACATGATCACTCGGTCCACTGTGCAAATAGATACACACAAGAATATATTACTGAAAAGTCTTACATCAATAAATCATTATAAAGTGTCATATGAATTCAACTCTTGTGACTTAGATAACAATGTGTATGTTTCTGTGTTTGAAAAAAGACATTTTATTTGGACTTTTCATACTGTTTTAAATGGATAACATTAATAGCATATGCACTCTATCCCTCATTTCATATATAAAGTGTGTTCAGGCTCTTTTACATGGAATACAAATAAAATGATATTGTGACATGATGCCCGAAGGCCAAAACAGTGAAGACGTCCAGTGATAGGCAACTGCTTGTTAAACAAGTTTCTGCAGCAACAGATACTCGAGCAACAACAGAGAACTGTTGGGAATGATGTTTTCTCTTTGGCCCATACAAAGTGGTAATAAAATGGTGCTCAGTTGCCAGTTGGGCTGCGAATAGAAGACTTTACATGTGCTGTAGTGAGACTGTTATAGTTCCTGTGTTAAACTCTGTAGCCAGGAAATAGAGTGTGTAGAATGTAAGAGACTGGGGATACTAGTGTGCCTAACAGTGAACTGTAGTGTGGAATCAGAGATAGTGTTATAGCTGTTTGTAGTACAACCTGTAAGTGTTCAATAAATCTAATAATCCAAAACCCTGTCTATAGTCACACATATACACGTGACAATATATTATGTCATCTACACACTTTGTGCATCAGAACATACAAAACATTAGGTATGAAACTGTTCTATATGTCAGCTTTAGGGTAATTCAGACGGTGCTCATAGCTTTTGTCCTAAATAAGGTATTGCATATTGGTTCTGTCTGGTGACACAGGATAACAGCAAAACCTTCATTCCCTTTTGGAATATAAATCACACTGGTAATTGTGAAATTACGAAGTTATTTCAACTGTATATTCAAAGTCCAAGAGTACATAACAAGCATGGAGATGCAATGTTGTTGGAGGTTTCACTGCATTAAACATCCACAAAGTCATTGAGTGTGACACAGCAACAAAATGATGCTAATGGTCATTGTTCACTTCAAGAGTTAATGTTATGTATATACATGCACAAAATGGTGACAAGCAGACTTCTGACAGCATTCCAAAAAATATTTTTACGTGTTCAGTGGCTGCATACAAATGGTCTGTATTGGTAACTGGATCTACTGGACTCTTGTAAAATGCAACTGTAAAGAACTATAACCGTTTAATTAATTTTGGCACTCTACCATTCTTCATTGGCTACATCCTGTTGTGTGCCCCAAATATATACAGGCATTAGGTTAACTGTTAACACAACAAATATACTTGCTTTTAATGTCTTACAATCTGACTTCCTATTCATACTCGTACAATAGCATCATAAGGCAGTTATATATAGGAATATGAAGTACAGTTACTGAACTACCAATATGGATCCATATCAGTGCAATGTGTCATATTATATACTAACAGATAAAATTTGCTTCAAATTGTTAAGTGTTACAGTTAAAATAGAAGATACAAAATAAGATAAAAGATAAGATATAAAAAGATACACCATATATCGAGATTTACAAAGTGTTGAATATATTATGAAAATATTAAAATATAAAAAAAATACACCAACTGTCAATAGATTTTCCGTCAAGTGCAACAATATATATTTTGGTTACTTATTTATCTCATCTGCCTTACATGTTTCGGTTCCAAGGAACCATCTTCAGAGGCACTTACAACAAATCATGAAAACACTGGCACAGCTCCACATCCACAGTATGTAGTTATTTGTGGAAACTATTACATATATCGGCTG